TGTTTCAAATATCTTCTAATAATTTTTGTGATCGTATATAACAAGATATATATATATATATATATATATATATAACAATGTTTGCATACAGCAAGTGATAAGGTGTCTTATAACACTTGAAATATATTTTACCTTCAACAAACCATACATTCCGGGATGATCGTGCATAGGCATCGTGACTCCATGTTTCAACACGAAAATAGCGATTGTTATGTCCTTATTTTCGAATATATCCATCACACACATAGGCGCTGGTTGTCTGCTGACATAATCGAGAATATTTTTGTCGAGTTTCACATCCTCGGCGGTTATTTTGTTCATCAGACTCCATAATTTATCCAAGCTTTTCTGACAGAACCGATCACCAAACGTTTTCATCGCTTGCTTCGCCAAAACCTCGATCGCCGATGCCATAATTATATGCTTTAATGCGTCACTTCTCGAATCTGTTTTACCAAAATATTATCCAAATCGACGAGTAATTACAATGATTTTTGTATCCGGATATATGTATCCTGAAAAAACGTATGTCAATCCAGTACTTCACGTTTTTTTGACAAGACCAGTCGTAACCTCAATTGCTGTATGATAAGAAAGATTCATTAATAAAAGATGAAAAAGCTTAATCGATTGAAAAACTTTGAAAGAGAGCAACATTACATTACCATATATAAAGTTCGCGTGCATAAAGTGTAAAATGATATCCAAGTAGATTCGTGCATGTCGTGACAGAATATAGAGAATATTTAAATCGCAATCAATCGCATGTACTAACATTATATAATTTTTTTTTATCTATCATCTTATCTAAAGACCTTCAAAGGTCAACAATTTCTATAGCAAAAAAAAAAATATATATTTTTTTTTGACACAGCCATTGGCATAACAACTTTATTTTTAAATAGTTCGCAGTTAGATGTTTGTACGTTTTTAAACTAAGGGCTCCTGCAAACAGGACGTGTGGCAAGAGGCGACGCGGTAGCCAATCAACTTACAACTTTTCCATTAGAGCAAAAAATTGATTGGCTACGGCGTCACATCTTGCCACGTGTTGACGCGTCATGTGTGCAGAAGCCTTAGTGTCGGTCTACAATAGTGATTTAAGCTCTAAGCCTTAAGTGTCGGTCTACAATAGTAATTTAAGCTCTAAGCCTTAAGAAATTGACCAATCACGATCAAGTACCCTCGTTCCAATCTCCTATCCATAAGGAAATTGATTATTGGTCTATTTTTTTTACTGCGAAAAACTGTCCGAAAACTCAGAAATTTTATATTCAGTAGCCAATCGCCGCGTCCAATAGGATTTGTAGGATAAATAAAAATGTCGCCTTAAGGCTGGTATTCATAGTCCGTTCTTATATTTAGATCGTCTTAAGTTTGATCTTGGATAGTCTTAGGCCGGTATTCATAGTCAGTTCTTATTTCAAGACCGTCTAAAGGGCCGTCTACAATGGCAGTAACAAGGCTGTAGGAGTAGGAGAGTATACTGTTTTTAGTGATGTTTAGACGAGGAGTAACGAAATGGGACACTTAAGTAATGTTTTAAGATGCTAATACGGCTCTGTGATCGGTTTAGGACATCTTAAGATTGTGCTTAAGACGGTCTTAAATATAAGAACTGACTATGAATACCGGCCTTAACATGCTATACTTGAGATGATCTTAAATATAAGAACGGACTATGAAAACCGGCCTAAGAATTTTTGCCGCGCAGACGCAGTATTGATGTATTTGAAACTCCAGCCAGTCTGCTGTCAACGTCGTCGGCTCGGCCCGGCGGTGCTCGGCATCGTTCGACTCTGTCACTCTGTCTGTCGGGTATGCTCGGCCACCTCGGGCAGTAGCAGCAGCAGCAGAGCGGGCGGACTCGTCCACCGTAGTCCAGTCACCGAGTGAGAGCTAGGCTGGGGGCAGTAAGGTTGTATAGGCAGGGGCAGGAAAGATGGCTGCCGCGGCGAACGTTGCGCCGGAGAATCAGTATTTTTACGAGGATGTCGTCTATCGCGTGGATAAACGGGGCAACGTCGTCTTCGGCATCGTCATGGAGAATGACGATCAGGACATGTCCGAGGAGAGCTCCGACAGCGAGGAGAGCCTGCCGAAGCGCAAGAAGGGCGAGATACGCATGATCTGGCATCCGTCCGGCGTCGAGGAGTTGGTCAACTGTAAGAAGGTACCGCGATCAATTACCTGCTTGTCGATCCCTCGTGGAAGGACCGATCGATTCCCGCGTCTCGTACCTTTCATACTATTTGGCTTATCAGCATGAAAGGCGATACCTTTCGCTGCGATAACGGCACCAGATTGCATTAAAATCTCAGATTAACGATGTTTTGCATGGTATTGTGCGTCGAGATTCTTACGACGCTTCATTTCCAGGTTCATCTGGCTGATAGGACCCTCATGCCTGGAGATGTAGTACGTAGGATGATCAAGGGAAAGGATACGCAGAGAGGCTACTGCAGAGACATAGAACTGACCGCGTGTGTGCAAGTCATTGGCACCAAGCAGATACTCACAGATATCAAGAGCGAAGATCTAATCCCATTACAGGTATACAGATATAGACTTTCTATGGTGGAGATGCAGCCAGCATATTAGTTGAACACTGAAACAAACAGTTGTCATTTGTAGGAATTTGCAACAGATATGGCAGTCTGCATGGACTCTTGGGTTGGTGGCATTAGAATGACACATTTTAAATTATGGTTGGTAACACCAGACGGATCACACTGTGTCATAAACGAGATGGATTCCTGTGTGTTGGGACAATTGGAAGAGACTCGAGATAATGTAAGATCAATATGATTTATCATTTATATATGATCCACAGATATAAATAGCAAATATCTTTTAGGACAATGATTTTCCACACTCTACTGAATTCTACCCTGGTCAGAGCTTATGGGGTCCTGTTCACTGTTTGGAGGATGCGCAATGGATTCAGTGCACAAAAGAGATGAAATCAAAGAGAAAATTGAAACCGCAGAAGATAACAAAAGTGATTGTGGAGAAAGTAGAGACCGATTGGGTCGGTGTGCATTGGCAGTGTCGAGCGTATTCAAAGGACGGTGCCTGGTCAGATCAGGCACAACCAAAATTTGTGGTCGAGGGTGAAGATCTGAAAAAGCTGAAACTACTAAATGTATTCGAGCCTTCGACGGTACAGGTCGGCGATCGGAATTTTTACATCATTAAGGGAAACGAAAATGTTATTACTCGTGAACAGTGGCGAAAACAGCAGAGGGATATTTACCAAGTTCCTAAGCAGAGTCCGAAGAAGACGCGTCCGAATATTACAGTGACGAAGCTGCTGGAAGATAAGAAGAAGGAGCAGAAAAAGGATAAAATATCCAACCAACGATCGACAGAAGAGAGCAGTCAAAGTAATGGTGTTAATTCGCAGGATGTCACAAGTAATAATACTTTGATGCTGCCGCCTCAAAATCACCATGCTGAAAGTTCGGATGAATGGGATACCGAAGATACCACTGGTTCGCAAAGTGACTCAGCTTCGGTAATCAATTGTTTTTTCTTTTTATTTTTCTTTATTTCTAAGAATGAGAGATCTAAGATAGAAATGATTGATGCGCCCCATAGGTCTCTAGCGGCTGCTCCAGCATGTCGTCAATGGGAAAGAAAAAAAAAGGTCCTGCATTGATGACAAAAGTGCTGAAGAAAAAGAAGTTGCGAAAAGCGAAAAAGAAAGTACCTCCTGTTCCATTAATTCCCGGAACAAAGATAGTTGTAGAAACGTTGTCCACTAATACAAAAGCTAATGTGGTGTGGCAAGATGGTTCAGTAGAATTTGGTATTAAATATTGAATATTATGATTGATTTATATATTAGTTGGATCATAAGCTATATTTATATATATTCGAAATATATAATAATGTGAATTATCTCATAATTAATATAATTTGCTTATATTACCGATAGATATGTTATTAAGGAAAATACATAGTTTCAATTATATACATATATACATAAATATTGTAGCAGGCATATATGATGTTAATGTGCCATATATTCTTTTTTAGGCATACCATCAACACAATTATATCCAATCCATCACTTGGATGATAAGGAATTTTTTCCAGGTGACTTTGTTGTAGATCAAAAGGAGGAATCTAGAATGTATGGTGTTGTACAAAGTGTCGATCATCAAGGCCGTACTGCCAAGATAAAGTGGTTCCGAACATATACTTCTAGTCAAAATCCAGAGTAAGTGTTACATAAAAAAAAAATTTTTTTTCCGACATCTTTTCTCTTATGTTATCTCAAAACTTTCCATTGTCTTTGAATTTCTAGAGGACTTTGCATACTACATAATTTAAATTACTTACGAATAAATCAAAGGGAATGGTAAAACTTTTAATTTGTTCGATTATCTTCTTACCCAGGCCGATTTTCCTGGAGGAACGCGAAGTGAGCGTTTACGATTTGAAGGATCATCCAGATTTCCAGTACAGACCGGGAACCTTAGTAATTCGAATAGCGAATTTCGAAGGTGAGGATGCTGGATGCACCGCTGGTCAAGTGTTGGACAATTATCCAGAGGGACGAGTGAAAGTATGGTGGGTCGATGGTCATATTAGTATGTGCTGGCCGCAAGACCTGTACAAGGTCGGGGAATACGACAGTGACGAAGGGGAACTGTGGGATGATGTTTCATCCGATTCATCATGGGAGACAGAATTGGAGGATTGCTTTATCGCCGACAATGATGGCACCGAACAGACAGAATTAGAGAACATAAAACCGAAGTTAGCAGCGCACATCGAGAAGGCCAGGATTGCTATGTCAAGATTGGAAGAGATCTTTACACAGAATCCGTCGTTGCAGACAACAGAAGTGATGAGAAAGCTTCTAGAAGTCTACAAAGATTGCCGTTATATGGACAAATTGATGGGCACCTCGTTTTTTCACGAATGCCACTTCCAAGGGCTCCTCGAGCGGGTGAGAGAACGCGGTAGAGCGAATGTCGCGCAACGCATGGCGGATCAAGTGACGAGACTTTTCACACCCAAATCCGAATATCCGGAAGAATCTTTGGATAAAGATAATTCAAAGAATTCGAGAAGCAGCGATGATCAATGTGCAATTAGTGTACCGGAGGAACAAGTCGCTACAATTATTAATAGATCGGAAATTGACAATACTATTAATACCGAGAACAATACCAAAAAGCAGGACGACGAGAAGCCGATTAATCAATTATTCATACGTCCCAATCCCAATCCCGAAGATTCTGGATTGTATTCGGCGGAGAACTCGAAAAAGGAATCGGGTTCGAGTGAGTCCAGTGGAGAATTTCTCATGAGCGAAGACGTTAATAATGCGCCAGAATGCTCGTCCATGTTGAGTGGCGCAAATTTGTCCGACAAGACAGAACTGAATAGGATGAAAAAAGTGCCGACGAGTCTTGTGACTTCTCAGAACGTCGGAACGTCGCACGTGTGTGTCAAGCTATGTAATCTGATAAAAGCGCAGCTTGTGTTAGCGCACGCCGAAGTGTCTAGGAGGTTTGGTTTGGGCAGGATGTCGTTATCGGACGCAGAAAAAACTTCCCCGCGGAAAAAACAAAAAGGCGAGGAAGAGGAGGAACGCATGGAGGCGATGACGGATCCATCCGAGTGCTCCGTCGAAATTCCACCGCCTGTTTATACCGAAGGCGAAGGCTTCTCTATAGAAGAAACCGCGCCTGATAGTCATAAATTCAAGCTGACCATGTTTCAGCCCACCGACCCGAGCAACTTCTTCAGAACTGTCTCCAAAGAATTGAAGTTGCTGAAGAGCTCGCTTCCGCCGGGTGTGTGGGTAAAGGGATTTGAGGACCGTATAGATCTGTATTCTGTAATGTTCCGTGGTCCCGAGAAAACGCCCTACGAGGATGGTCTCTTCCTCTTTGACTTCCAATTATCGGCCGATTATCCGGCCGCGCCGCCTCTCTGTCATTACATTTCCTACTGCAGTGATCGGTTGAATCCCAATCTCTATGAAGATGGGAAAGTGTGCGTGAGCTTGCTGGGAACTTGGTCCGGTCGTGGTACGGAGGTATGGACGAGCTCGTCAACTCTGTTGCAAGTGATTGTCTCGATACAGGGTCTGATTCTCGTGAGTGAGCCGTACTTTAACGAGGCTGGCTTCGAGAAACAGAAGGGCTCGCAGCAGGGGCGCGAAAATTCGAGAATGTATAACGAAATGGTGGTGCTAAAACTGGTGCAGGCGCAAACCAAGTTGCTGCTGCACCCACCACCTGTATTCAAAGATATTATCATTGCACATTTCAAGAAACATGCCGAGAAACTGCTGCAGAGAGTGGAACTGTGGATGGAGATATCCGAGCAACATAACAATCAGCATCCGTTATCTCCTGTCACTCCCACTACGTTTAAAGAGATCGCCGATATTGGTATATAATGAATATCTTTCTTATATAATACTTTTTATACTAGATACAATAAATTCTTGCTCTCTTTTTTTTTTACAGAGGAGAAGGTATTGCCCGAATTCCCGCTCATTCCAGCATCGCGCGGTTTTTGCATAACCCTCTGCAAGACTTTAGCAACGTTTAAAGAGGTGCTCCTTAAAGAGAATATAATACAAAAGCCGAGAGAATGTCAGAACAATGAAAACATTATGGAGTTAAGGAACAATACTACAAATCAGTGCCAAGAAATGTCTACATCGATTAACAGTAAAGTAGCAGAATGTAATCAGAGCAGTAGCGGCATGAGCAATACGCAGGAAAATAACAAAAACCTGACATCAAGCGGCAATCAATCCATTAAGGAAGTGATGTCATCTTCCGTAACGAATATCTTTGGGGCGGCGCCGAGCGAAACGAAAAAGAATCTCTTGAGCCAAAACACCAGCTAGCCACAAGGTAAAAGTAAGCATAAATCGAAACGCTTAGCCCGTTTAAATTATTATATGACTGTTCGGTAATATATATATTTTAATATGGAATTTCAAATTACAAACGTACGCTGACACGCAACATATACATGCGATATACCTATCGATAATATTTAATAACGACACGATAATTTTTAATAGAAATACTGCGGCAGTTGTTGCTAAAGATATTTGTTCTAAGAGTAACTACCAATAGAAAGAGAAAAAAAGAGAGAGCGTAAAAGCGCGATTATAATAACATGCACGAACAAAAGAAGGCAAATTTGCAGCTTACACACATACACACACACACACAATACACAGAGATACATATACACAAAAACTTCGTATATTATCAAGACGAATTGTAAAATAATCGCGTTAATTCGACATCGAAGTAAAAAGAAGAAAAACAAGACCTATATAAAGCTCCTCTTGCATTTAGTTCCATATACTTTTAAATATAAAGATATTACGTTGCCTGTAACAAGTATAAGAAGTTAGCTGAAACCTCTGATAAGAGAATAAAAAAAAAATATATATATATATAAAATATAGTGCAGAAGGAAAGATCAGAATTTACCATTCTGTAAAACAAATATGGAGAAGAAATATGGCGAGAGATAAAGACCAGTAGCAATACGCCGAACTAACGAGGAAAAACGTTGCAATAGGATTTTAAAAGGATAATAATAGCGTGATTAATTCTGCGTAGCACATTTTCATGATTGCACTTTCAGTAATGTGTGATTATTGTCGAAATCGTAAATCGATTATTCCCGTCGAAACATATATATCTTGGAATTACTATGCCATCCAAGTGGAATGTTGGACCTTTATAAGAAAGGTACTCGTAATCAATCGCTTGCTCTTATGAAGAATCTCAGTGGACTTCCACACGAATTGTTTCGACAGAAATTTTATCCCGGCAGCTGATCGAAAATGAAGCTTAAGCGCTGCCAGACGATCAGATTGAGGCTCGAGATTTGTGTGCTTGAAAAATGCATAGTAATTGGGACTCTCTATATCGAACTGTTCGAAAGATCTTTCTTATAACGGCTCAACATTGTGCTACGAATATTCTCAAGCGAAACTATAAAGAGTGACTTTAATCGCAGACGTGTAGAGGAAAATAGCTTAGAAAAAAAACCAGATCCATATCTAGATGAAATCTTTACGATATGTCCAGTGTATATGGATTTTCTTAGCACATAGCTTGTAAAGCATAGAAATTTAGAAAGAAATGCATTATCCTTACTCTCAATCTTTTGTCGAGATTTTCGTCGAAGATAGATCTTTTTTTTCATTCCTATAATTTTTCCGGATATATATTGTGAAAGAGGACTGATTTGAATTGTTTACTAGAGTACTGTTCTAATGATTATTACTATCCTTATCATTAAGTTGATTAATAATTAAAGTGAACGAGATAAACACAGTGTGTGTATACAGTATTATTCATTAATTTTTTCTAACGATTCTCGCGTAACGTATCTTTCTAAAATTAGGGAGTTGTTTTTTGTGTAAAACTACCGATGCACATATAAGGAGATAACGGGATAAAAAATAGAATGTCACAATAAAGGTTTTCAGATCAATTTAATAATTAAAAGTTATGGAGTAAGATACTGTGGAGTGATATTTAAATATTTATCAATAGTTGTTTTCCTCTTTGTTACCTTTCTTTCATGATTCTTCAGACGTGGAAAAAAAATGTATATCCAAATCATCATCATTTAATCGATTAGCTTACAAAGCGCTCGTATTTTCTGTACGTCGATCGATTTCTTTCTGTCGTTTAGTGAAGGATAAGGAGACTCTTAAAGAGATTTACGGTGCTAACGAAAGAAAATTGCGAGAAAAGAGATGGAGATGCTTTTGAGAAAAGAGTATGCGATCCTTGTTAGGAAGTGTAAATGGACATGCTAATAGAGGCGGAGAATAAAAGGCGCTCTGTAAAACCGCCGAAACGTTTGGGATGCCTTGTATATGTGCCAGCTGTATTTACATTGATTACAACAATTGTATTCGTGATTCGCGTATTTGAAAATTTGTTTCACGCATTGCACTTGTTCGGAAGGAAAAGAAAAGGAAGAAAAATAGAGAAAAGAAACGCGCAAAGAAGCCGCTGCTGAATGTGCGATTAGCAAATAATTATGAGTGTAAAACGTGAGCGTAAAAGAAAGAAAAGGAAGAAAAAAAGCACATGTTCTAGTCTAACATCAAGTTATGTACGACAGATTAATTTTATATTTAACTTTTTATTTATATAATTTTTATTTTTATTTTGTTCGAGACTGTTCTTCCTGTCTTCGTTCTTTCATTCATTATCTCTTAAGCTCCTTTGTATAGAAAATTATATATTTAAGATTGTTATATTTTATTATTTAAGATTTATTTCTTTCGGCGTCACAAATCATCCTTTTACACCTGTAAAGTTCTATTTGGAGGCATTCGTTGAGATCATTCATTTGCCTTTTCTATCCATTGTACTACGTTGGCATCGATCAAATCGAAATTGCAGTTTCGTAGTAGTTTGCTACACATGTAATTCAGTTTTCTTAATTCTCAATAAAAAGTCATTATAGGATCAACGGACATGAAAATGTCCCGTATCTTTTATCAACATTATACCTTTATAAACATCCTTAAGGTGATGCCGGACCGTCCTGTTTTACCGGCCATAATAATTTACTTTGCAGACCGAAATTTTTTTATTGGTTACATGAACTGCTACTTCGGTGACATTTATTCTGATACATATATAATAATATAATAATAAATAATTATGCAATGCATAAGCATCATAAAAAAATTATTTGCAATTAAATTATTTTTATTTCAATGTATTAACGAGGCTACAATGATAATTGAAGATTCGTAATCTCTAATTGAACATCGTTCTACATTCGTGTAACGTCGAGCATAGAAATCGTGATATATGTGTAACGAACAAAAATGTATCTCGCTATCTCGAAATAGATAAGCTCAGTTATCCGTATCTCTTATCGAAGGTGTGATTCAGTACGCATTACGTAGACAGTAGACTACAGTATAGTTAACTGTGAGAGTGACTCTTGCTGTTCCATCTTTCTTTTTCCATTGTATATCGATATTTTTTGAGAAAAATGTATTCGAAAAAATTTGTGTGCTATTTAACTATCGCATTACGTAAGTAAAAAAGAAACAATCTTAATTTTAATATAAAAGAAACGCAGGGATAATTATTTCTAATCGGTAATAAAAGATGCCTCGCTTTTTACGTCTCATTGCATCGTGGAAATTGTCATTGATTGATGAAAAATAATCGCTGATGTTTTATTAAAAGAGCAATTACGATTATATAGTTAATCAATAATCATTTTTAAACGCGATATTATTCAATTATTATTTTACATTTATTAATAAAGTCTACGTTGCACGCGTGTGACATAGCATGTAAGTTACAATAGATCTCATAAAAAAGAAATGAATTGCAAATTTTCTTTTGCTCCCTGAACACCATTAAACAGTTCTGATGGGCATATTCTTGGAAGAAGTGGAAGCGAGGCGAAAAATCTTGAGAGGACGAAAAACAATAACGAGGCGTTATTATAGTAAGTCGATAATAGTAACGATACAAAGTGTGTGAAGTGATGATAGAACCAGGTTCTAAGCATTTGTTAAATCTTTTTTTTTTTTAGGAGGTACGGCTATACCTGCTTGGGCCATAGTTGTTTTGACAGGATTCGGCATGCTACTGCTCGGCGGTGGACTTTACGCATTATTGCAAAAATTCGTGGTCGACTCCGCCGACACCGGGGAAACTCACACCTATCAACCCGCGTTGCAGATCGAAAGCTAGAAGTTCTAAGTAAGAAGAAAGTTTTAAAAATTAACTTCCGATGAAAAAGAAAAAAAAATCCTTACCTTTTTATACTCCACATTATATAAATTATGTAACGTAGAATTTTATAAATGTGTTTTTTTTTTAGAATGACATTTTTGCTTTATTATTTATGAGATAATTATATTCTGATTTGTTAGAATTATTCTCTTTTAACAAATGATATAAAAGTATTTGAGATACTACACATTGTTATGTTTATATTAATGTCCAAATATTTATTATATATGTTACGTCTTCAAAGTGCGAGAGAAATCGCGCTTAGGTTTTGATCGATAAAAATTACGCATCAGGTAATTTTTTTACAAGATTTAAGTAGAGACCTTATACCACTTTTCTCGCACTGACTTTTCAGCTTTGCGTAATTATGAGATGCGTAGAGCCAGAAAATGAATTTTCTCATTTTACATGCTAAACGATAGGAACGAAAAAAGAATAAACGATATAAGGGTTCGATTGCAATGCGGAATTTGTTTTTCAATCCAAATTTTCAATTTCCCAGATAAGACAAGTCTCAAGTTAAACTTCTTAAGAAAGAATTTTGTGAGAGGAAAAGATATGGTCGGCCGAACAAAGTCCCTATGTGGCTTTCTTAATAATACCTGCGTGCGATATATTTATCGTAAATCCTAAAAAAAGATATAAAATATATTTTTTTAAATTCCTGATTGAATTTATCACGTTGTGCAATATATTTTTTATTATTTAATTAGGTCAAACGTTGCGCGCGCGCAGCGCAACATTTTTCAAACTCTACACTTTTGTATGTATGTGTATTCTTTTTATCCAATTATCGTCATATTAATATTTTCTCTTGTTTTTATCGCAAATTTTCAGTCTAGGAATGGCTACAATCTTCGAAAAAAAAAAAAAAAAAAAAAAAAAAAAATCAAAGTGAGAAGCGCGCGCGCACACGTGTATATGTATGATGGTAGAGCAAAGAATGAATGAAATAACGATACACCATAGAGTCATGTATATAGGTTTCAACTATGTACTATTATTTTTAATTCAATCATTGTCCCGTCGTCTAATTCGGGGTAAGTACATAAAAATCCCTTAAAACCTCGAGAATTTTGGACTCCGAAGTTTTATATAGCAGCGCTCATTTGCCGACTTTGTATGGCATCTTTCTTTGTCTTTTCTTTTCTTTTTTTTTTTTTTTTTAAATTATTTTCTTTTATATATGAAAACGTCACGCATGCTAACGCGCATCAACGACGCATCGGTAATTTATATATGCGTCGCGAGCATATCATCGATCGGTCATTATCCGTCGTTCGCTCACTTTTAAATTATACATATCTCGACAGACAGATAATTGAATGCGCGATTATCAAAGTCGATACATGACGCGCGTGCGATGAAAATGATTTTGCTCGGCAAGTACACAGAAAGTAACACTTTGTCGTCCACAAGAGCAGTTAACATTGAGAAAAATAACTTCTTACGCGATTATTTCAATAGAATTTCTTTTTTCTTCTGTATTACGGTAGGATATCCTTACAGTTGTATAAGTATCCTCCATGAAGTCAGTTTTTGTTATATAATGGGCGGAGGGAGAGTTTGGGGGGGGGGGAGAAGGCGGAAAAATTCGCACGAAGCTCGAGATGTGATAACGAAATCTGTTCTTTGGTTTTTTCTTTCTTTCTTTTTTTTTTACGATCTTTAAAGAGAGTGGCTATTACAATGATTATGTTGAAAGTAGTGCTGAAAGTAGTGAAAGATATCTTTTTTTTTTTTTTAGTTTCTTATAAATATTCTGTTCTCTTATACACAGTAGTATTTCTTTTTCTTTAACGCGGACCTGTTATAGTTTGTACAGAGGTCCTAAATAAGTAATTCTTACAAGATAATAGTTAGAATCGTTCTCTATATCATGTGTGTAATTACAAGAGTTCGTCAATGTATATATATATAATATCATAATTGTCCGAAACAAAATCGGACGTCCGGTTTTGTCAGCGGTGACATCGTCGAGCGACGTATAGGAGCTTCTCTCTCTCTCACATACACACACACACATACACACATTTTCTCTTTATCTCTCATTCACAGCTTAAAAACAATTCAACGTGGCGAGGATTGACAGATCGCATCTTCGCGTGGCCGCCAATGCGAAATCATTCTCGCGTATAAAACAGCATTGGAGATGAGTGCATTCGTCAATTGCAGTATGCATTATACGACACATGTAAATCACGACACACGTGGAAATTGATTTATATAAATGAATGAAAACAGTAATCAATTTTTTTATATTTCCCAATCTTAAATTTACAGATTAAAGGAAAAAAACAGTACATAAATAAATAAATATATATATATAATTCCAATGAAAACATTTATTTTTCTTGTAAGAATTAAAATGGACATCAACAAATACTATTAATACGATTAAGTATATAATAAATTATATTATTAATTATATTATATTAAGTATATAATATAATAAATTAATAAAATAAATTTTTTTTATAAGAAGATG